AATATAAATTTAGGCCTAATGAAAGGTTTGGTAGAGATTCCAAGAAGTCCTATTCAGTTATATATATACAATATATAAATGACAGAATTTCTAAAAGTTCCCCAATCTTTGGCTTCTTCTAGATCCAATGTTTGCTGCTTTCAAGTGCCTTCTTAGTCTTGGAATTTCGATCAAAAGTTTACTCTCTGAGACTTCATCGTAGAAATTGGTCAGTTTTGGAATGGACAACTTTAACCCTTCTTCGTTGGCAGATATGAGACTCTTCACTTGAACAGCTTCATACATGGATGCTATTTCTTTTTTTTTCCCGTTCAAAAAGTTTTATTGTTTTGTCATTTTGTTAACACGTTTATGTAGACTCAAACAAATTGTATCATAACCACCGCAAGTGGCAAGTGCAGTGTATTACTTTGAGAATTTGAATTTTAGTAGGGCTGTGGAAATTAAAGATTAATTTCTCGATTAATCGTTTAAACTTTTTGATCGATTAAAATTATGTTGGATCGCTAATGAAAACACTCACCTCTCCGTCGGCGATCTGGTGATGTCACCGGACTCCTCCCCCCTTTTCCCCAAGTGGCTCCGTCGGCTAACGAAGGGAAGGGGGAGGAGTCCGGTGACGTCGATGTGTTCGTGACAGCTAACAAAGGGAAGGGGGAGGAGTCCAGTGACTTTCGATGTCCGTGACGTCACCGGACTCCTCCCCCCTTCATTAGCCGACGGTGCCACATGGGCTGGTGAGTTTGCCCAAGAAACTTTCTGCACGAGCGCCAGCCAAGGCATTGCCCTATACACATACAGCGCAGCAATGAAGTAATAAAATGAACTAGGATCACACTAATCCAGCACGTTATTATTCTGAGTTGCCCCACTCAAGCGGCGGCCATATTGAGTGGGGCATGAGAGATTAATAACGTGCTGGATTAGTGTGATCCTAGTTCATTTTATTACTTCATTGCTGTGCTGTATATGTATAGGCCAATGCAGTTGGATCTGTATGTGCGTTATAATTAATCGAAATTAATCGATTACATTTTTTTTTCGATTAATCGAACACGAAAATTGTAATCATTACGAGCCCTAAATTTTAGCCTTCATTTTATTGCGCGGGTTCAGCTTTTTAAAGTCAGGTAAGAGACTTAAGAGAAACAGTTCATCTGCATCTCTGGGTGTTAGGTTTGGGGGGACAATAATCGGGGCTTTTAAAGCTTCCAAAACTTTGTCAACAGTGTTTTCGCTGTACACGTTTTCTTTTCCCGGGAACATGAACATGTGCAGGAGTAGTAGTGCAATCTGAAATCACATAAAGATATTTTGCTGTAAACGCAATATTCTTAGCCTGATTCCATTGCACTGTAACAATCCTGAATTTGAATTGACCACCAACCTGTCATGTCGGAACTCTGCGATGCTATTTCCGTGCTGTGATACTCCTCGGCAACAGGATGTAGCTCTATATATGTTTCTACACTTTGCTCATTTTCCATGGTGATGGTTTCTGTCAAATCTTGCATTTCATCTGATAGCGATGTTTCCCGCAGGCACTGATGTGTGTTGGGAAGTCTCAGGAGTTTCTGCTGAAAGAAACTCGCTGAAGTTTCCTGTCGTCCTAAAATAAAAGATAATGGTTTTAAAAAATGTTGTGAAATAATTGAATAAACTACATTACCTTTTAGTAGGGATGCACCTATACCAAGTATTTGGGCGAGTATGAGTACTCGGCCAAATGTTCCCGATGCCTAGAATATCTCGGAACTTCTGGCATCAGGAAGCCGGTGTAATATCATCGATTGTGACCGCGGTGGAATGTGGGACCGCGTCACTTCCGGCCATGGCATCGTGTGAAGGCACATGTGCGAGGACATTTTTTACATAGCCGACTGCGTTCTTTGACATTCTTTACATTCCTAACATTCTTCACTGTTAGCTACTGCGCATGCGGGTCACAGTCGCTCACAGCAAATTTCTTATACTGCACTTGCAGAGGGGGAGGAGGAAGGGCGGGGAATCTGAGACATTAAACCAATCACAGAAATAGACCTTTCCTGGTGCAGATATGTTTATTCCAATAAGCGGGTTTAAAAGGTAAAATGACAGGTACTCACAAGATTAGAGCGATAACAAGCTTCAGAACAATAAAACCGGAGCAGTAAAAGGATCCGTGCAGTGCGTCCTGTGTATAGATCACTGAAGTGTCGACGCGTTTCCGAGGCACACCCCCTTCATCAGGACGTGATTCTAGTCTCCTCCCGACATCAGCATGTGGTGGGTGGTGTCCAGGTTGGTGATGGACAGGTGTGGGTCCGGTGTCAGATTTAACATTTCTAGGCTAGTTTAGCCTGTCCATCACTAACCTGGACACCACCCACCACATGCTGATGTCCTATCATCATATGGTGCCCTGTCCAATCACGCTCAAGTTGTCCCTTCTTTAGGCATAGAATCTCGGCACAATTGTCGGGATCCGCTTCAGCTGCGGCGTCTCGGTATATAGGGAGCTGTAGCTCGTGGTATACTGAGCCTAGGGTGACGGGAGGTTCTAGTTTGTGTCCTCCCGTTACCCTAAGGAGAACTATGGTGAAAAGACTTAACCCCATAGTTCTCCTTTAATACTATATACCTACCTGTCTGCAGTGTGCACTTTTCATGTGGCCGTGTAATGATGGAATCATGTATTACCTACCACCAAATTAGATACAAAATTGCAATTTGTTTGTGCATAAATATTATGAAAAAAAATGACCAATTTAGCATTCTTTCAATTTAAAACACATAATATCCGCATCATGATGTCAATTATGTTGTCGTTGAGTTATACATTTTTTTTTTGGTAACAACAGACCATCCCAACCTTGCCTATGATGATCGACATACTCAATACACACTCTCGCTTTGAGCCTTTATTTGCCAGAGCCCACCTCAGGGAACAGAAATTCAATGTTGATTGGGATTGTTGGCTGACTGACGGCCGCTGTGGTTCTCGTGTGGTATAGAGGGAACATTTAATATGTTTGAATTTGTGCTCATCCCTTATTT